CTATTCTATCTTATACTTAGCAAGATAATAAACTTTGTAAGTAGTTAAACCTTAAAAGTATCACAAATCAGTCTGATGTATCATAACTTGTATGTTGTCAGCAAAATTAAAATTAAAATTATACTGTCAAAATTAAGAACAAAAATAAAATTTAAAAGACGAAAATTAAATCAACATTAAAATTCTTTATCAGTTTTCCTTTTTTAATTGGAGCAATTAGGACAAATAAATTGATCCTTATCATCTTTGGACAGTCCAACACACATTTCATGGACATATTTGCCACAAAAAGCACAAAGTCTCATGTCCATAACTTTGTCTTCTCCACAGATGAAACAAAACCAATTATCAGTTACTTAATTTGGTTCTTCATCCCCTGGACTATCAGAGCTGTTATCATACTTGGGTTCTTCGTCAAGATCAGTCTCACTGTCACTGGACTGTAAAACTTGTCTTTTTACTGCTCTTTTCTTTGCTTTACCTTTTTGTTTTATTTTGGTTATTTTAATTTTCTTATTTATTGGTTTAAAATCATCAGTTAGATCCGTTTTTTCTGGAGTTTTTGTTAAAATTTTAGTTTTTCCGGGTTGTCTACCACGACGAAAACTTTTTCTAGGAGCAGCTTTTGGAAAAGGACGAATCAATTGTGGTAAAACTATTTTTGTTTTTTGTCGTGAATCACAATCTACCGTACTTCTCATATCCACATCTTGAGAAGTAGAAGCTACCTCCTCTGATTGTCTTAACATTGCAACTACTCGCTCAGGTTCCTCCTCAGTTAGAATTGATGGTGAATAGGCGCCGTAGTTTCGTTCACGGATACTGATGCTGATGTTGAAGGCTCTGGCTGACGTTGTTCTTGCTCCTGAAGTTCACCAGTCATTTCTCTATCTGTTACCGCGGAACATAAAAAGTCTTCATCTGTGAAGATGTCCGAATTATAGGGATGTATCCCAGTTTTTCGAAATACACTCAGAATATTGGATTGGCTAAAAGCCTGCGACATAATTATGCTTACAAATCCGGGTATATTGTAGATCGTAACAGTTCGTCCTGGGTTACTTATCATCCAATTATTCATGGCTGAATTATATCTAGCCTTGAAAGATGAATAAATGGCAACATCTAATGTCTGCAACTTATTGCTGCAGTGGGGTGGTAAAGTCAGCAAAGTTACTCCGTTTAATTTTGCGTATTTGACGACTTCAATATTGACATGACTTTCGTGGTTGTCGAGGATAAGCAAGACTTGGTTTTGAAGAGAGGCATTCGAATACTTCACAAAATGCGCCATGAATTTAACAAAACTCTTGGTTGTCATCCATCCACTCGAATAGGAATCACCTTGTGAACCTGGTGGTCCATCAGCTACAAAGGATTCGTTATATTTAACCCTAGGGAAAATGAAAAATGGTGGAATTACATTTCCCAGAGCGTTCACGGCGAAGCAAACGGTCACAAGACTGCCACGTTCAGCTGAGGTAACTTCTCCTACTTGACGCACATGCTTGCTGGCTATTACTTTGGGACACTCTTGTACAGTTGTACACCCTGTTTCATCACAGTTGTAGATGTTATGAGCTTCGAATTGATATTTTTCTCTAACTTGTTTGAGGTTGTCAAAGAAATCATTTACGTTTTTTTTATTAAAATTGGTTGATCTGGATAAACTAGTTGCTTCTGGGATTCTCAAACTTAGTTCAGGATTTCTTTTCATAAATCCTCTGAACCAATCTTTCCCTGCACAGCTGTTGAAACTCCAAGAATTTAAATTTTTTTTGGAATTAATTGTTGCATATTCATATGCCAGTTTCATAGCTGCTTGTCTGGTTAAGCCATAATTCATTTTGCTGCAAGTTAGAAGATATTCAACAAGTGCTTTCTCTTCCTCGATTGAAAATATCTGAGCTGTTTTAAACTGGCTTCCTTGTTCACTTATTTTAGTTAATTTGGACCTGTCTCTTAAATAATTTCGCAAAGTATTTCGATCAATCCCATATTCTAAAGCAACACCTCTTATAGACTTTCCTTTATCAATGTCATTTAAAGCATTTATTATTACTGAGAGATCTAAATTGCTTCTGTTTCTAGCTGTTTCTTTTTTTTATATTTGAAGGGCATTTTGGATGACTGTATCTGAAATTAAATAAAAAATATAATTGCGGGAGAGACGACCCTGATTGAGGGAGAGATTACCCTGGGTAAAGTCTCCTCCCGCCGCCGGGGTAATATCTCCCACCCCACGCCACACTGTCAGTTATTAGATTTTTATAAAAAACTATGACACTTAAGTAAAAGCTGACTGTCCTGAATAATACTAAGATAATTACACTTGCCATCTATATAAGTGACTTGGAGAAATCTGTTCACAGTAAACATCACATATCAAATAATGAAAATTGAAAATTTTTACTTACCAGGCACAAAAATGTGTTGTCACGTCACACTCCGAAACCAAACTGTCGATTGTAACGGCGTCGCGTGAGCAAGGTGGGAGGGGGCTATGGAATCTAAGAAGTGTGGCAACGTCGCAATATCTAGTTTCAAAAAGATTTTATGAGCAGTGGCTATTGTCTCCCACCTGCTAAACTCTCCCGGACTCCCCCTACGAAATCTTTTGTTTTTTTAGCTGAAATCGCTGAAATATCTACATGAAATACAATACATATCATTTAAATATTTAAGTGATATATGGTGATAAACGTACTTTGTTTTGTTATAAAAGCAACTACCGATTCGATTTCTCTCGATTCGACCTTGGTCCATCAAGCTGTCGAAAAAAAAAAGATTTTAAAATCTGACCGATTTTAAAAACTTTTTTGGCGGGATTATCGTTGAACTGAACATATATAAAAAAAAACAACATACATAGCTGTCGAACATATAAACTCCTCTTTTGAATTTTGAGGTCGGTTAAAGGAGCGTGTTTTTGATATGAAAAAAATGGAAGAGTCAACTTCCTTAATTTTCTTTTATTATTAATTCTGCAATTTCCTACAATAGACTTTAAAAAGTAACCTGTTTTTTATACAGGTGTTTGGTGCATTGACCGGCACATTTTTTGGGGGGCAATTGGAAAATCCTCCATTGGGATTTTGAACCTTTTTACCATACATTTCATGTCAAAATGTCACGATTTCTTAACTATTTATTTTTCATTGTTTTTAAGAAATTACCCAAAATAATACCTTTAAATCGAAATAACTATTTTGTTTGTAAGAAAAATAACACAAATTAAATATTATTGTATTCTTCAATGTCTATTTAATTTAATTCAATCATTATTTAATACAATTAGTTTGAATAAAAAATTGTATGTGCTTTCAAAGTCTTAAAAATGTTTAAATGGAGCAAAATTAACTAATTCTGAATTATTTATAAAAAACTTATAGATATTTTTGACATCAATCAATTTTAAAAAAGTTTTCTGGTTATACTAATACCATTTCAAACAATATACCTTTTATTTTCTGAACTGTGGCATACGGGCCTCTTTGGCCGCATGTAGCGCGCGCCCGCCCCTAACAGATAATGCGCCTGCGCTGCAATTTTCTGTTTTCGCCGATTGCTGCGTGCAATGCTCCGCTGATGCATAGGGGAAGTAAGGTCGGCAGGATAATGCCTAATGACTGGCTGCATTAAAGACATATTACGTGTCCAAGTAAATCGCTATGGTTTAATTTATGTATGTTTCTTGACCTTTAGATAACTCTAGTTTTGCTGGATACAAATGAATATTGATGTTTTAAGATTTTAATTTAATAATAGTTAATTTTAATAATAATACTTCAAAAATCTACAATTCAGTGGCTTTGTCATACAGCTAATCTCGTCTCCCCGCAAAAAGTTATTTTACTATAGTTTATAATCACTAGACCGGTTTCGGCTCGTATTACGTATTGTAATATGATGTACCTACACTTGGCGTCAACATGACTTCAGAATCATATCGGTCGCAATCACAAGTGAAAAAAAAAACACTTTCACTAGTATCCGAGTAAAATACAAAATCGTTGAGTTTTGTGCTGTCGGCGCGCTCGCAGGCCGCTCAAGCAGGCGCAGTGGCCGTTCTCACGCTGTTGCAATTATCGGTTGCCTACACTTGGGTATCCCTAATTTCTACCCGTTTACCAGTTCCAAACAGTTTTCAGGATACTCAGCTGTGAGTCTGACCACTTAATCATTAGCTTATTGCATGTGCGAATCTCTACTACGCCATACCTTAATACCTAAGCTAAACGAGTAAAATTTAGAAATATGTAATTTTACAAATTTGCAGCTTTTTCGGTTTTATCTTTTTTTCTGTCACATTAGTCATTATATTTTGGTATTGCTATTTTTGTTATTTTTATTATAACTTTTAAATTTGATTTACGATTAGAATATATTTTTAATAAGTTGGTAATGTTTAAGGGTATTCAGTCAACATAGCTTTACCTACTGTTAATAATTTGGTATTTTCTTACAATAGAAGTGATAATGATTGGCTATGATAATATCAACCACCATGGGCGTTCCAAAAGAATAATCCGTGGGCAACTTAATGACTTATCGATAATAATCATAATAATATGTTCGTAGTTATTCAAACGCTATACTTTATCCTTTTCTACTTAAAAAAAGTTAAGTTTAGATAAGCGTGTATTAAAACCATTAAGATACGTGATATATTATTATTTATGATCATGATCCAAGTAAATAGTAAACAACCATGTTTGTGTTGTATGTGTAACAATCTATATGTATATGTATAGACCATTATCAGACCTGTCGACCCTGGACAATCGATACGACTTTCTGAGAACATTTCAGGACTGCAATAACGTTTCAGTTCCAACAGAATAAAATAAATATTTAATAGGATACCATACAACAAGCGTGATTTTTTTGCTTCGTGTGCGAGTTCAACTCTTGGACGGTTTTTCATAGTGGAGTACATCACCACCAATGACACGACGAACCAATCTTTCCTAAATAATAATATGTAAAGAAAAACCCAAATGGAATTCCAAAAATCACACTCATTCCCGAGTACAACAAAAGGCGTGCGCGTCACGCGTGCACCAGACACAGTTGGCATCACGTCACGGCGGCGGGCGGCAGTGGACACCGATACGCGGCGTGTACGCACGTTTTGGGCAGTTCGTGAGTAACGTGGACCGCGCGCATTCCACACTATTGTGCGAGGCATTCCCTTCATAGCGATATGGTCGTGCGTTCCCTTTATACGCTTTGTCTTTATTTTCATTGCTCCGGACGTGTGACAGAAAACCATAACACTTAATCGTGAAAAACCGAAGCAGTATTAGAGTTTATTTGAATTTATAATCAATAGTTCATTCTTAAATCGAGAAGGGAATCAAACCTACATATATTTATATATTTTCAAATAAACAAATATATTAAAGGTAAAAGCTACTGAATAACTTGAACAGACAGAGCTGAATTTAAAAAGATTTGCTTAGAAAGGTTTTCAAAAATAGAGGTGCGAAAGGTTATAGATTCGAGTCCCTCTCGGGGTATCCGGAACTGGAGATTTTTTTAGGCATTTTTTTGTTAAGTTCCAAGGAGGGGCGTTATATGGCCGTTTGAAAATTAAAGGCTATTGGAAATATCCATGTTGTGCCCAGTTTGTGAAAATGTTTACGACTTTATTTACTACTTGCATTGGTCTAACTGTAACATAAGATTTTATGTTTTCTCGATATCGATATGGTATTGAATTCAAAGAAATCAATGTTCAATATTTATGAATAAAAGTAATGTTTTTATATAACAATACTAGTTATTGGTTGTAGTAATCATAAAATATGTCCAATATAATCATAACTCTGAAGATTTAATTAAGAATTGTAAAGAATACAAATAATATTTTCGGTATCATAAAATAATCTTCACTTTTATCACTTTATTATTATAAATTTACAGGTTTTTATAATTATCCATTATAACACGTATTACATGGCGCATTGCGACTGTTGTTTACCGTATGCGGTTAAGTTGGGCTACTCGTAATATTCCCTTATTCCCTTGACCCATACTGTTGAAAAAGTTATTCGAAATACAAATACTGAAATTTGATACGAGTGCTGTGATTAAAAGAAGAGGATTAGGTATCGAAAATTACGATACTGATATAGGTTTAGGAATTCGGGATTTCAACAGCCGTTTTATAGGAACACTAACACTATCCGTCCATCAAGCTCCATCAAGACATGAATAACTGCTATCTATTCGAATTTATTTGTAGCAAGAAGTACTTAAGATAACAAATTTAAATAACCAAAAGAGTTTCAACGGTATGGTGGCAATTTTGACATTTGTCCGGTCATGATCGTGAAGTTCCGTATGAAGAATAACTAAGTTTAAAAAAGTGAATTAATGATTTTCAGCTTATATACTCGTAGTACTTAATTGTATAAATGATTGTATGCCATAGCACCGTCAACGGCATAGCATCTGTGGACGGCGTCAATAAGGTATTAAAACTAGCAGCCAATGTAATAAATAGCACAGCAGCTCGTGACTGAATGAGATAGGAGGCTGGCAAAACTGGCAGGGTCAATATGACCACTAAGTTTGGTAGGATTAGACATATTGTATGGTTCAAACGGTTTGTTTAGTGACGGTGCCAAGAGTCGCTAGAGGGCCCAGGCTAAAGTGGGTAGAGCCATGAAGTTACAAACCCAAAGCGACCATAATTGAGGGCGAAGGGGGGGTAGTATGATAAATGGTGTTAGTATGAAGGGCGGTAAATTGGATCTTTGCCAGAGCAGCTTAATAGGATTGAAGAAACTGCCATGAGATCGTAATGAGATAAGAGCCATAAATTGACACAGGTCTTCGTGAATTTTTACAAATGAGACATTTCATAAAGACATTTGGTAGCCCTAGCTGTGTCGAAATATCACAAGTTTTGATTCAAAGCGTGAGAAAGAAATATGTTTAGAAGAGCCTAATTTAATATACGCAGTGTTAAACGTTCACCGACCGATGTTTAGAATGTATTGTCTTACTCTTTGTAGTTAATTAGAACTTCGTGACGGTATAATTATAAAATAAACTATAATTATAACTGTTAAGTTAAGCCGAGCACTGTCGTTCTGCAATCACGTTGTTGCAATGTTATATCACTTCGCGACTAGTAACATAATATTGTACCTTTCTCCATTAAATTAAGAGCACTAATTTTGCTGTTTCTTTTTAGACTGTTTACAATTTTCGCTTTCTATAATGTTTTCTATCTAGACATTCGCATATTTTGCATAGGAAGAAACTGCAATGTCCGTTCAAAAGAAAAAGTGTAGCTCCAATTAATTCTGCTACAAAAACCTACAACTTAATGACGCACATCGTGACCCAGCCGAAGGTTTGCGTCTGTTGTAAGTAAATCGTGTCTCGAGGCGTATTCGCCGTTCGCATGAGTAGGCACGCTCGCCGTGAGAATGTTCAGAGATATTTTAGGGTTCCACACCTCAAAAGGAAAAAATGGGTTCCTAGTAGGAACGCCAGGTTGTATACATGTGCCTTTTATACCGACCGTCCGTTTGTCTATCCGAAAATACCAGTAGCATATTAACATAAGCGTAGACTACTGTTAATTTAGGATTCGGATTAGTGTATGAAGTCGGCGACCTAAAGTTTATGTGTAGGTATCGTTATAACGTACATAGTTGAAACTTCTTTTAAATTACAATATAAGTTGAAGGAAATAGATTAAAATATACTTACTTAATAAATACTGGGTCCAAAATATATAAAAAAAACAACAAGAAGCATTCCTTTATCTACAAGAAAACCTATATCTACGGTTTTAACAATTTAATATTTGTACGGAACCCTCGGTGCGCTAGTCCGAATCGTTTAAGTCGATTTTTTTTTTGGTGGAGGGCGATGTCGATATCGTATCAGCAGGGCCGCAGTGTTGGGCGCGAGGCCGCGAATGGTGGGCGGCCGCACCGGTACGGGAGCCGCAACCGCACACGATTGAGCGCGCGCGCATCCCCCCGGCATCAACAGCCCATTGTTTCACAAGTCGATTCATTGTTTTGACTGCTGCGCATTTATTATTTATGCCCAATAATCCGCTCAGCTGACTGTGGTAATAACACTACGTATTAATTGCATCCGCCCGGGGAGTTACGAGCGATTGTACTTAATTCAATTTATGATTAATCGGACGTGTTTTGCTGCAGAGATCTCATTTAAAGAGTTACCGCAGCCGCCGCCGTACAGGGAGACTGATGACAGCGGAGTACGCCTTCAGGGATACAATGAGCCGGTAAGATTGATTGATATATTAACGTTTCAAAAAATTAGGCCAAGTTTGTATATATTTTTAATTGACAAAAACATTTAAATTTGTAGGTTACAACACCTGCTTATGAAGTTATAGATTTGCTGGCAAATTGCAAAATAAGATCAGCCGATGACAATCAAGAATCTGACTGTGAATACGCTGAAATTAGAGATATGGGCCTGTGGCACTCCACGCCGCTTACGCACCGGCACAAGTCTAAAATATCACTGACTTGGGTGTTAAATGAGAACATGGAAAACGCGAAGCTACCATCGGTAGAAAAGGTGAACAACGAGAACAAGACGAGGAAATCATTGGACAGCAACGTTGATCGCCACCAGCGTCACAACCAGAGGTTCAATGAAAACGAACGTTACAGAAAGTGCAAGTACAGAGAGGTGAAGGAGCGCGTCGTCGGTCGCAACGAAAATTATCACAATTACAAGTTTCAAAATTCGTGTGACAGTTTTGTGAAAGGACACGATGTGTACTCGGACGATACGAGTGTGTGTACAGAGCATACGAGGAAGAAACACAGGCACAGGCACAGGAGAAAGAAGAAAAACAATGGCAAGTTCGGATATGATATCAGAGATTTGGATAGCTTCTTGAGTGAGGTAAGTGATAAACAATTTAAACAAATATTAGATATATTTCACTCTATTGTTTAAAAAACATTGTTCGTTTCCAAAATATTCACAAAATAAATAAATAAAACAGAACTGTTAATTGAAATAATAACACTTGATGAAAAACACAGTTTACTCTCGAACAGAAATGTAGCTTTATTTATAAATTTTATTTATAGATTTATTTCCTATAACTTTTTTATTTCTTTTAATAAAATCGAGCTTTACGCTCCCTATAATTTATTTAAATTAGTAATGTGCGAGTAAGCACCGTAAATTTATTTGTGGCCGTACTAAAAATATTATTTGGACATTTCTGGGAAAATATTAAATCGCTTTTTAACTTTAAGGGATGGTATAACACAAGTACTTGGTCGGCATCCATAAAAAAGAAAAAGAAACAAAACCTCCTCAGTCAAAATAAAACGACTTGGGATTCCAAAAAACAATTCATCATGTATCGACATTATTACCTATAAGCCTTTTCTTAGTACGAAAGAAATTTTGAAGCACCGTTTAAATTCCGTCCATTATTCATTTTCTGCGATGTTATTATGACAATAAGGCATATATTGTTCTGTTTGCTCATGTGCCTTACCTCTGAACGCGAGTTGTGCGAGAATAACAATGTAGGCCGCGAAAATTGGTGCAAAATTACACAAGATATAAATTGCTCATCATTTTCAAAATTCTTTTGGTAGGTTTTAATGAACGCGTTTGCTGCGAGTTGAACCGAAAGTTATTATGGTGCCGTTTATTTGGTATTATGATCCGTAACGTTAAAGGTTTTTAGACTGTTTTCGTGTTACACAAGCGAGTTACGTTAATCTTGTAGTGGACAGGACCAATTACCGATGCGGTTAATCCAGACAACAATATATTTTGTTGAGGTTACATTTTGCGGTACTTATTTAATGAAGAGATGAGCGTAAACACAAAGTTTTTTGTCTGTCTGTCAGGTAAATTATTAATTTAGAATTAATGCGTAATCAATATATAACGACGATGCATTGAGTTAAAGTGCCTTTGTACATTTTCAACATAGCTGTGACGTAGGAAGCCCACAGTCCTCAACTTTAATGCTTATTATATTAGGAATTTCTTATTAAAATGAAGTAAAAAAATACGTATCTAACATTCTTAATGAAAATGCTTTATCATCCGCTTAGTCCTTGGTACTCTGAGATGGAATTCGAAACCCCGACTTTTCGCGATCAGAACGACTCTTCTAACTACTGAGATAACCTAACAGGACTGACATATTATGAAAAACAAGGAAAACAGAGAAATATTTATAAGTTACACTAAACAAATAATAATATAAATCAATTTACTGAATAAAGACTAACAACAGATATTACTGTGATATTAGCTCGTCAGAAGCAGCCAACCAAGTGTGAATAGAAAGTAGATACAGTAAAAATAGGAAAATAAATTAAAAGAATGTAAACGTAAACGATATGAAAATATCTGACGCAAAAGAGAAATGTAATAAGAAAAAGCATAAGAATCAATGTATAAAATAGTATAAATGTAAGTAGAAATATTTAATAGTAAAAATAAAAATTGTATTATCTCGAACTCCTCCATACTTCGGTAGGCACGTTAAGCCTTTAGTCCCGGCTGCATCTGCAGTCGTTAATACTCACCAAACTAATTTTATTTACCCGAAGACTACCTCTGTTCCTACATTTCTTAGGAAAGTGCATTTATCCGACAAGAGCAAAACGAAACGATTGTACATTGAGGTGAATGTTCTGATTCTGTGCTAAATGGTTCCTCTTCGCACATTTCCAGGCGTCCCTAGACCGGCCAGGCAATATCCCAGTAGTAGTTGCATACCCAACTACGTTGTACCAGACCCAGAAGGAGAGCCAGCGCGAGCTGACGCTACCACTCGGCACCGTAGTCAACGCCGTATTCAAGAACCAGCAGTGGTTGTTCGTGCAGACGCCGCACGCTCAGCAAGGTTACGTGGTGTATAACGCGTGTCTGCCATTGGGAATATTGCCCAACAAGTAAGTTTTTCATTAAGGGGGACATTGCTCCAATCGGTATGGATATAGAAGTCTTTTAATCAAGGATCGTATAAAAATACACATATAGAAAATGAGCGTCAAAAACTAGTTAATTAATTACTGTAAACCGTTACGATTATTTATAAAATTCTCAATTAGATACCTCGGCTACTTCACTATAGTAAAAGCATTAGTTTTGCATTGCAAGCATTGAATAAAGTGAAATTTTATTACATTAACGGTCAATTGCACAAACGTCCATTAAGGTTTAATGATACCTTTAAGCTCTAATGAATGTCAAAATTGTATGGATAATGTCGCTTTAAACTAATGGAAATTGTAATGGACGTTTGTGAAACTTGCTGTATAATTCGTAAAAATTAAAATTTCATTAAAAATAAATTAATAATAGTGATTGACAGTAAAAATATAAAAAATAAGATTACAATTTATACAACAGTATATCGATCAGCGTTGGATATGTTTTTTAAAAAAAGTATTTCCAACTGCTAAGAGAAGATTGACAGATGCGCTATAGGATATGAGAATGCGCTATACGATATAGAATTGTACGCAATTTGTTACTTAATCATTATCTAAGTTTTTATAGCATGGAACAGTATCGATGACATGTGCAACCATCGGTCGCGGAACTTAAACCGACCGCAGCGTAATTGATACTAATGGGATAATTATGTAAATTATAAAACCATCGTTTTCTACATCAATGATATAAAAATACCTACATTGTGAAAAAAATATTTAATATGAATTTGGTACTTAATATATTTTCTGAATGCTAGTGGAGTTAAGCAACATAACTTAGAGAAATGTTTAAGTCTAGATAAAAAAAACTTTTAGTAATTCTATGATTTTTAAAGTGGAATCTGATAAATATATAAGTCAAAGGTTACTCTTGTAGTTTTTTTATTAAAGCCATGAGACCTTGCCAGCCAGCCTATTGACGTCCCAAAGCGGAATCTACCAGTCGCAACTTAAATTTATAAAATTATGTCGATAGAAAAACACACAAAATTACCAATTTTTCGAATTCTCCTTTTAAATATATACTTTTACCAAGTAACAAATTTGTAACCAAGGGCTATATGCAACACTTATACAATATTTGTTAATGCTTGCGAGTAATTAATTTTAAATAGTTTTTTACGCGCAACTTTGCGCCCGGTAATAAAATATGTAGGGGAGACGTGTCTTAACGCCCAGCTTAAATAAATGCAATATGGCGCACCAAAGAAATCCAATATCTAAGTTTAGCATTTGCCACTAGATATTTAGAAACTTTGAATTATTTTATAATAAAAAAAATGAAAAATAAGTACGAATAAAAACGTAACAAACCTATATATATTACATACTATATTTTGTATTTACAGGCAGTCAAATCAAAAGAAGACGCCATGTTGGGAAAGCAGCACTGACATATACCCGCGTCCGTGTGGGAATCTCACGGACACCGAGAAAGAACATCTGCGCGGCAGAACCCGGTCCGAGTGCCAATACCGACCCCAAAATGACAAGCAGAAGTCCAGAAACTCCTGTGCAGAAAGGGACTTTGATTCCCTATATTTAAAGACCAAATCCGTAAATTCCATTAATAGACTTCATGAAAAAGAACACAAAAATATACCAGTGAAGAGACAAATTTTAATGGTTGTGAATAGTGACTATAAAGGAAGTGTGTTAAATAGAACTTTGACAGTGCAGAAAGGGGATGTTGTAGTTCTGATGCAGGGAACCGGTTTAGAGGCAGACATTGATATGGACTGGTTTTATGTCAAGATGAAGGATGGAAGGCAAGGGTTCATACCAGCTGCTATAGCAGGACATGGCTACATATGATATTTATTGATATAAAAAGACTGACTTATAGCAGCAGGGAAACAAATCATCGGTATCATTTATTTCTCAAAATAATGTACTTAAAACTTTATATTCCTATAAATGTTTATTTATTCATTATGCTAGTTAAAGTATTGTGTGTTTCAATTTTGCGATAATTAGCTAATTCCACTCATTTTAAATTAATTGTTGATATTATGTGTGATGATGATTTGTGATATTAATAACATGACATTTGTTTTAAACAGTATTCTTTATTCAATCGGACTTACCCTATCGGAAATGTAGAATTTGATCTCTATAGTTAAACGACGTACACAGATCAATTTCTGGGCTAGAGCCTGCGATTGCCAATACATTAGGATTTGTCTTCAATACTGCAGAGTACACTGTAGTTGCTGACACTGGTAATTCAACTCTGATCTCCCCAGAGTAACTTAGTTGATACAAATGTTTACTTGCACCTCCAGCTATTACGCAATCATCATGAAAATAGGAGACATGTATTCCATGATCAGGTAAATCAAATATTGTAGCGACATCAAGTGATCGAATATGCCAGAGTGCTAGTCGAGGTCCACCACCACAAACCTAAAAAAGAATAGCATTTAAATAGCACTGTTACAGTTAGTGCACAAAGATCCATTACAGTTTAATGATGTATTTAAGCTTTAATTATATTTGTATTTGTAATGTCGCTGTAGAGGGTGGTGATCCGGCTCTATGGACCAAACTGTAGGCGATGCTGTATAACTCGATGGATCAGACTGTAGAGGATGGTGCAAAACAAAGACGGATTTCTTCTATAGACGATTTATTGTATTTTCTTCTTACTGGCTACTTATTACTGCTTGACTATACTGCTTGACTGACTTGACTTAACTACAAATATTTACAAATTTGGCCCTACCCTTATTCTAAACATAACATCTAACTTAGATACTAGTGACGCGCGGCGGCCGACCAATCACAGCGCGTTTTACGCCCGCGCGCCGGGTGGGGGAATCGCCCCCACCGTGCCGACGGCGCCTACGCAGCCAATGGGCTCCCCGATAATTCCGCTAATGTAGGCGCTGTGATTGGTCGTTCGATCTGTACATTTTTCGGCACGTGGCTGTCGTCAACAGTCTCCCCCCGGCGAAGGATCTCCGCAGCCTCCTCCGGTTGGCAGCCCGTGCCCGTCGCGCAGCGCGTCCTCTCTCATCGTTCCGTGGAGAGTGCAGGTTCGACGACGATCAGCTTCGATGTCGGCCGCCGAAATGTTCCTCCTCTTGTCGTTATCTCCACGTTCCGAATCACGCCGTCAGGTCCAGGGTAGGTATTGGCTACGATGCCGCGTGGCCACGTGTTTCGAGGCAGAGTGTGGTCGGCTATGATAACCACGTCTCCGGTCCGTACTTCGCTGCTTCGTGGACGTTGTGGGTCGCGGCGTGGTATGAGGGTCGGTAGGTACTCTCGTAGCCAGCGTTTCCAGAAGGCGTCGGCTAGTGCTTGCGTCGCCCTCCAAGTCCTGCGGTCGCCCTCTTCACATGGCCCGGTGTATGGAAGGCCGGTCGATGACCCCAACAAGAAGTGGTTTGGGGTTAGCGCCTCCGGATCGCTTGGGTCTACGGAGACATGCGTCAATGGTCGTGAATTGACAGCATGTTCCGCCTCGGCCAGTAGAGTGTGCAGGACTTCCTCCTTCGGTGCTCGTTCCTTTAATGTTGCGTTGAGCGCGGTTTTCACGGAGCGAACCATGCGCTCCCAGGCTCCGCCTTGGTTAGGTGCTCCCGGCGCGATGAATTTCCATGTGGCATCGTAGTTCATCGCCTCTCTCTTCAGCTCGGGAAGCCACTCGGTGTACGCCTTCTTGAGCTCGGTGTCAGCCCCTCGGAAGTTAGTGCCGTTGTCACTATATATTACGGCGGGCCATCCTCGTTGTGCTGCCATTCTTCGCAGCGCCATGATTGCGGAGTCAGTGGTGAGTGATGCCACGAGCTCCAAGTGCACGGCGCGTATCGTTAGACAGGTGAATAACGCCACCCATCTTTTTTCTCGTCGTCGTCCAATTTTGATGGTGACTGGCCCGAAGTAATCTATCCCACAATGACTAAAGGGACGTCTGAAGGACTGTAAACGTTCTGCGGGTAGATCCCCCGTCGGCGGGCTCCTTGGCTTCGATCTTCGTAGTCGACACATAAGGCAGCCTGCTGCGACTTTCTTAACTGTTGGTCGCAGCCGCAGGATCCAGTACTGCTGCCTGACGTCGTTGACCACTCGCTCGTTGTTGCAGTGTCCCGCTCGTCTGTGCTCTCGATCAATAATTTTCTTCGCGAGTTCGTGGCGTCCGTCCAATAATACCGGCTTCTTCGCTGTTTCCGGTACGTCCGCCTTGTTAATGCGTCCGTTTAGTTTCACAAGCCCGTCTTCCCAGGTGAGGTCGTAACGGTGCAGAGGGCTCGTTCGTGCTAAGGGGACTCCTTTCTTCAGGCACTCGATTTCTTGGCTGAAGGAGTCTTGTTGCGCCTGCTGCAGCCATAAATTTGTCGCTCGGTTGAAATGTTCGCGGCTGAGTGTCTTCGTTCTGTCGCGACATCTTTCCACGAAGAGTAGCGCTTATGCTGTTGCGCCGATCAGTCGCTCGAACGTCGAGAATCGTTCTATCTCCGGTAACGCCGCGTTTCTCTCTGTTGTGTGCGCGATGACGTGTGTTATTTCCGTCGTTTCGTCATCTTCTCGATCCGTTGGTGGCTTCGGCCATTCCGATCTTGGTAATTTCAAGAAGGGTGGTCCCGTGAACCACAGGTCGTTTTCGTTGGCTGGCGTATATCCGGCGCGTGTGGCGACGTCGGCTACGTTCAGATGCGTCGGTATCCATCGCCAGTCTTGCGGTCTGGATGACTCAGTTATTTCTCCCAGACGGTGTGCGACGAATGGAGTGTAGCGCTTGCTTCCATTCCGCAGCCAATGAAGCACCGTCTGAGAGTCGCTCCAGTACACGGTGTCGTCGACGTTGACACGGTGTTCTTCTCTGATTGCTTTCGCTAGTCGCGTTCCGATGAGGGCCGCTTGAAGTTCCAGGCGCGGTACGGTTTGGGTCTTCAAGGGCGCGACCTTAGCTCTTGCCGCTATCAGAACTGTCTCGATGACATGGCCGGGTCCGTAGTGCAACCTCCAATACGCCGCCGTTGCGTAGGCTTCTTCGCTGGCGTCGCAAAATACATGAAGCTCACGGCGACGCACTTCTCTCCCCCCGTTGTAACTACGGGGTAGCCGTAGTTGGTCGATTGCTGGCAGGCTTGTCAACCATGCATCGAAGTCCTCGCTCAAGTCGGATGGTAGAGGGTCGTCCCAGCCGGTCTTGAGGCGCCATAGTTTTTGAAGAGTTATCTTCGCTGTGATTGTGAAGCAGCTGAGCAGTCCGAGCGGATCGTATATGCTCATCACCGTCGATAATGCTTCTCTTTTCGTCGGCGGGCGTTGTCGAGACTTCACTGGCAGTGGGACTCTAGGCAGGGCGGTGTTGAAGCCCAGCCGATCGGTATTTGCATCCCAAAGCAAGCCCAATGTCTTCTCTGTGTCTCCAAACGTCGTCGTCCCGCTTTTGGCTCTACTATCCGGGTTCACGGCTTGTAGTAGCTTCCTATTGTTACTGTTCCATCCCCTCAGGAGGAATCCAGCCTTCTGGTGCACTGCGTCGACTTGGGTGATGACTTCGTGGGCCTCTCTCGGATCATTGAAGCTGTCGACGAAGTCATCCATGTAGTGCGCTTCGGTGATTGCGCGCAGTGCTGCAGGGTGCGTCTCAGCATGCTGTCTCGCGTTGTGGTCCCTCACGCTGTGTGCGAGGAACGGTGAGCTCGATGCGCCGAAGATCATCGATGTCATCTTCAGCTTGCGCGGTGGTTCATTCTGCCTGCAGTCGCGCCACAGGAACATCTGTGCGGGTTGGTCCTCGCGGCGTATCTTGATCCGCAGGAACATTTCCTCGATGTCAGCTGTCACCGCGTATGCGCCCTCTCGGAACCGGAATAAAATGGTCTGCAGCGATCGTAGCAGATCCGGCCCTTCGAGTAGGTGATCGTTCAGGCTGACACCTCGAATTCTTGCTGCTGCGTCGAAAACCAGTCGCAGCTTCCCGGGCTTATTGGGATTCTTGACGGCGAAATGCGGCAGGTACCATGCGACGGGGCTGGCGTCCTCGGAGCCGTCGCAGGGTTCGGCGTATCCTTTTTCTAGTAGATTGTCGATCCTCCGCTGGTATTCTTCCCTGTCGCGTGGATCTTTTCTCAACTTGTTCTCCAGATTCGTGAGCCGGCGGAGTGCTGAGTCGTAACTCCATGGTAGTCTGGCGTTGTCGTTTCGCCACGGCAGGCCCACTTCATATCTGCCGTCCTTGTGCTTCACGGTGCGTTCGAACGTGGAGACGGCGCGCTTGTCCTCTTCGCGGACGTGTGATGCGTCGAGCGACACTCCGAGTGAGTCGATCCGGAAGTGTCTCGACACGAGTTCTTCGAGTCGGTCGTCTGATGCTTCAGTCGTGACGACATGTAGGATGTCCTCGGTGCGGCGAAGCGATCTCGATGGCGCCGTCCCGTGGATTACCCATCCGAGTTCGGTTTTGGAGGCAGCTGGTTCTTTGGTTTTTCCTGACCGTAGTTCGCGGGTCACTATGAGCTCCCAGTTGTCCGTCCCGATCAAAATGCGAGGCTTCGCATTCTTATATACGACTTCTCGCTCGTCGAGATCTCTTAGGTGTCGTAGCTTCATCGCCTCCGCCGGTATCGATTGCGGCGTGAGGTCCAGGCCCACCATGGTGCGAGCGTTGATTTTGAAGATCTGGTCACTGCGCGCTCCTTTTATTCCAATCTTCACTCGACGGCTCTGCACGTGACTCTGCTTCTTGTTTATTCCTCGGACGTTGAGCTGTGCGGTCGGTCCGTCGGCGCCGATCTGTCGCGCCAGGTCGTCGTCTAATAAGGTGACCGTCGAGCCTTCGTCGAAGAGCGCGTAGGTGTCGCAGCTCCCACGTTTGCCCGTGATTGTCACGGGGCAAATCTTCAATTGGCGTGTCGTCGTGGCAGCCGTCGTCGTTTCGGTGGTGGCTGGTGCCATCGCATCCGTGTTTGAGTCGGTCGCGCTCGTAGCCACGTCGTTCGTCGTTCCACGCTCGTCTGCGTGCAACAGACTGTGATGCGGTCGCTTGCATCCGTTGATTCCGCAGAGTTTCTGTCGGCAGTTCAATCGACGGTGTCGGCCCACGATGCATTTGAAGCAGAGCCCCTCCTTCTTCACCAGCTCCCATCGGTCATCATACGTTAGCTGCTTGAATTTTGGGCAGCTAGGTAACGTGTGGGCTTCCTGGCATAACAGGCATCTGCGCTGCGGTGCTTCTTCGGTGGCGACGTACACCGTCTTCTTCTTAGCCTCCGGTCTGGGGGCGGGGCGAGGCGTTTCACGTGTTCGTTGCGATGTGGAGGGTGCGGTGAGGTTCGATACATAGTTGTATCGCATGCAGCGGTCAGCTTCCTTCATCAGGAACGATGAAAGTTTGAGTAGATCGGATACAAGGTAACTTGGCATCTTGTCTAAGACTTCCCGGGTCAGCAGTGGGTTAAGCAGGTACTCTGGCTGCACGTTCCTCAGGACGGCCACGACGTTCTGTAGCTTCACCGCAAACATGTTAAGATCGTTCGCGGTAGGTCCAATCTTCGGCAGCTTCCGTAGATCGGCGAAAGCCATGTCCACTAGTCTTTCTGGCCTTCCGTAGCATTGCTCCAGTGTTCGCATGATCTCGTCGGGGTGCGTCGCGGTGCTCAACAATGATGCGACGTTTTCCCGAGCTTCTCCACGTAGGCAGTTTCTTAGTCTTGCCATATTCTCTGTAGGTGTGAACTCGTACAGCCGCGTTGTTTCTCGCATCGCAGTCGCAAACTGTAGCCATTCCAGCGGTGAACCAGAGAATATCGGTAGATCCGATGCTTGACGCGGCGGCGGTCGTGACTTCACGAGGGTTTCGAGGACAGAGGCGAGTTGATCGATGCCTCTGCCTCGCGATGACGACCGTCTTCGTTCTTCCCTATCTGGGCGTCGCGTGTCGCGTTCAGGTGACGGTTCAGCCACGGCGGTTCTCGAGAGCTCCCCCCGTTGTTGGTCGACGTTCGCGTCGTCGAGCCACTCGAACACTCGATCTTGCAATTTATTTGCCGGTTCTTCAGCTTCGGGTTCGCTCTCTGCTCCGTCTAGCGTTTCTAACTCGATATTGAGCGTCTTTTTTATGAGGTCCGCTTCAATTTCGAGTTCTCGGCGTCTTATGGCAGCCAGTCGTTATTCTGCCTCGATGCGTAGCTTCCGGCGTGCCGCGTTGCTCGCTGCCGAGCGGGTCGAACGCGCGACATGCACTCTCCTCGCCGGTTGCACCGATGACGTCATCGCAGATGTCGTTATGCCAGTAGTCGCCGCTGTGTCCATTGGGTGTGCTGCGCGTTCGTCCGCTCCGCTCGGCGGCTGCGTAGTCACTGCCAAGGCGACGCGTGCTCCGGCAACGTCTGCCCCAGCGCGGTTCGCGTTAGGCGCTAGTTGCGAGACTTGCGGTGCGGTGCGTAGGCTCTCCCCGGCGTTACCCGTCTCGAGGCGTCCTCGTACGGTCGGTGTACTTGAGGGCGATCTCGGCGGCTGGTCGAAGACACGACGTTGGTTTTCTTCGTCTTGGCTTCTTGTAAGCACCATCTTGATTCACTGTTGGCTGGATCTCGGAGGTTCTATACGTGTTTAGATCCGGCTCGAAGGACCAAACTGTAGAGGGTGGTGATCCGGCTCTATGGACCAAACTGTAGGCGATGCTGTATAACTCGATGGATCAGACTGTAGAGGATGGTGCAAAACAAAGACGGATTTCTTCTATAGACGATTTATTGTATTTTCTTCTTACTGGCTACTTATTACTGCTTGACTATACTGCTTCACTGACTTGACTTGACTACAAATATTTACAAATTTGGCCCTACCCTTATTCTAAACTTAACATCTAACTTAGATACTAGTGACGCGCGGCGGCCGACCAATCACAGCGCGTTTTACGCCCGCGCGCCGGGTGGGGGAATCGCCCCCACCGTGCGGACGGCGCCTACGCAGCCAATGGGCTCCCCGATAATTCCGCTAATGTAGGCGCTGTGATTGGTCGTTCGATCTGTACATTTTTCGGCATGTGGCTGTCGTCAACAGTCGCTTTCAACTAATGTCAATTTTAATGGACATTTGTGCAACTGGCTGTTAATCAGAATTCTTCCTAAATATTGTTAATATACCTAGTCTCGCCATAAATTCTGTTACTGGTTGTTTGAATCCGTTTAAAAAAGTCGTTAATTTGAATTTCGAACATTAGCTTCTACAATAAAAAAATAGACTTCCTTCCCGCCATTATTGTATGTTTTTTGTTTAGAAAGTATTTGTTTTGAAAATGGAGTGGGACACTGTTCGAACAAATCAGGTCATTAATGCAGTCAAGGCCAGATATTGTCGAAATCCCATAAGGGGCCGTCCATAAATTACGTCACACAAAATTCATGATTTTTACCCCCCCCCCCCCCCCACATGTTTGTCTATATGTGAAGTAATTTATGGATGGGCCCCTAAGAAAGCAGAAAATCTTTTCCAGAGAAAAGAGAATCTCACCTAGGACATTTTCCCCTATTATCAAACAAGATTAAGATTTAGGGGCTTACCGGAGATTACAGGACATATCTTAAATCAGACACTAAAAAAAGAGAGTCGAATGATCAAAACAGCTCTAAAGAAGCTTCCGTGGTAGTAGCCCAAGTTCAGCCAGGCCATCTTCGAGAATACGTCAGGGTTTGGAGAGGAGTCTCCTACCAAGGGGTTCCATAACTCCATAGTTGCGAAAAAGAAGTGAAAATTTCAGCCAAAGTGTATCAAGTTACCGTGTTAGAAGCGCTAGTTAAACCTCCCAACAACACCTTATTAAAAAACGAAGTATGGACTTCCCAACAGGATTCAGCCCTGGGTCATAAGGCATGTGTAACAGTTTACTAAATAAACTGTCTCCCTTTTGCATGTTTAGCTGATGTGCTTGATTCCTTTTCACTTTTTAATACAAATTTATTTTAAGAAAAATAATCAATAAAAATAATTTTAGGTAAATTGATAACAAACCCTGAAATCAGGGTTCTTCCATCAGAGCCCGTCTCACCTATGCTACCCTGGTTCTACCCTTGCCAGTCGCTGCCTGGCCCGTGACACCCTGACACTGCATACTCGACACTAAATCCCCTAAATCTACTTTAAATCTAACTCTTCTTAATTCAAATACAAGAACCACAGTGAGCGAATCTGTACCTACTCCCTGAGAAATAAAATAAAGGTTGGTAAAACATTATTTTGTTTTTATCTTTTTACCTGAAACCTGGGGTGTGCTTCTCACCCCCCCATCTACAATACAAAGCTTCACACGGACTACCCAAATTTGGCTCGAGCAAAATGTTCCAGACTTCATAAAGGCTTATGATTGGCCTTTGGCTAGTCTGGACTTAAACCCTTTGGACTATAAATTGTGGTCTGTGCTTGAGGACATGGCCTGTTCTAAGCATCGCCCAAATATTGAGTTGCTCAAGAAATCTTTGAAGGCAGCAGTGACCAAGTTTCCAATGGATATTTTCTATGTAACAGAACTTATGGCTAGACCAGGTAAATACATAAGCAATTAAATGGCAATATAATGACTGAAGGATATTTAAATAAACTAAGACTAAATGATACTTACGATCCAGTCATCTCTGAGAGCTGCAGATCCTACCCATTTGCCAATGTCTGGTCGGCAGACTTTACTGTTCTTATGGGGCTCTATTTTATTATGAAATTTAGTAGATCTCAGATCCCAAAGTAAAACAATACCATCCTCACCACAGGATATTATCTGATCATTCCTGAAGTAAAAAACAATGTTTTTCCTTTTTAAAGTGAGATATTATAAAACTCCTAGTATAAAAAATACAGATGTCAACAATAAAATAAATAACGTCACATAGATTATGCAATTTCTTAGATGTGTAGCTGAAGCTATTATGAAGTATCTGAAAAAAGTACCACAACACCCAGACCCGAGACAATATAGAAAAGTGGACTTCCTAGATTGACCCGACTGGGAATCAAACCCGGGACCTCAGAGATAGCAATACTTTGAAACTAGCATACAAACCACTTGGCTACAGAAGTCAGTCAGTGTTTAAGACAAAAACATTTGTCAAAGTTCATATAAAGTCAAACATAAGTTAATTTTAATTTATTTTCAAAAATGATAACTTGCTAACAAACTCAAAACAAATCAACATAATCTACAGAGTCGCCGATTCAAAAGCTAATTCAAAAGAAGTTTAGTGCTGTTTAGATTAATTGAAAAAAAATTAATACTTACTTTCCATGCACTGAATGTATGTAATCATCATGGCCTGACAGCACTGAAAGTTGTCGTCTATCCTCTAAATTAAAAATATATGTGTTATTGTCTCCACAACCGGCATATAACTTCTCGCCATCATCAGACAAACACAAACTATTCACATCAATGTGTTCCAGAGAAGATTTCGATGATATCTTTATTTGCCATGATGGTTTACTTAATTTAACACCCAAAATTGCTTTCCAATCCCAACCATATATTACATTTACAGAACCAACGACGAGGAATTTGTCAGTAGCCACTAAACTACAAATTTGGTTACCGGTTTCGAGGTTATGTATATGTTTTGGCTTGTTAAAGTCTGGTGTAAGCAGTTCCACCACAGGATTTAAAATGCGGTCAAGGCTGCAATGATATTTATAATAATTAGGTTAGTGAAAATTTATTATTATTTAAAGCGAAATTAAGTTCCACAACGATTTACACTCACTCAAAGACTGCTAATTGTCCATAAATATTTCCAGCTATTAGATACTTGCCGCAAGGCGAATAAGTCTGGCATAAAACTGTATTGTACAAAATTTTGTCTAACATTGTTCTCTAATAAATCTTTGTTTTGTTTTCTTTATTTTATAATCTGATAAACAAACAAACGGAAATGAATAGAAACCACAGCCCTTCCTTTACCACGCGCTTGCATGCAAACGCTAAAAAAAGTTAGTGTTAATAAATATTCAGTGTTGCCACCTTAGCCCTTTTGGGGCTAGATCTAGCACTTTTTATTGTAGGTGAAGTCGTTGTTTAATTATTTAGCCCGGAAAGGGCTATTTGGCCCTTTTTACATTTGTGTCATAGATATTGATTTTTGTAGATAATCCGTTGATACCATTTGTTCGATTATGGCAACATACCGCATTTCTACGCCGCGCCGGTCCGGTTCTTCCCCGTGGAGTCTACAGAGTCGGGAATTCCTGGAGCGTTTTCTTTTTATAAACTGACTAATTTAAGATGTGTATCAAAACACTATTTTTTCATAAGTTGATATATCAATTGTTTTTTGCAATATAAAAATAATATGAAAGAACATTTATTTTTCCCTGATTGAAAGTTATTCGCCTAAAGTTCATCTTTGTAATTTGAGGTTTTTCATAGAACTTTTTCATAAAATAGTTTGAGTTTTTCGTCTACAAAGTGAATGTGTGTGAACATTTGAAAGTTCTTGTGCTTGTAAGTATTGAATAACTATGTGGCGACTGATACATAGCGACATCTAATTCATCGCAGTAACATCGCCACAACAATCGATAGCGAGAAGACTAGCATCGTCACAGCCATCGATAGCAAGACGAACTGCAATAAGTTTCAACAGCAAGTAACGAGATGGCGCTGTACCAATACAAGCATCATAAATTAATAACTACAAGACATTTAGAACAAAGAAACCTACATCGCACAGAATAAGTTTCATTACCAATTAACATAAATAGAACGTCCAACCTACTTCGGTTGGACCGCGGTCCCCGGGCTAACAACACCTAGCTCGGAGGGAGACAATTATCCTTTAGTCTCCCTGGCCAGTTGTCTCCATCACCACAGTAGGGACCACACCTTCAACCACTAGGTTCCTAAAACTACGTAAAATGGATTTGCCGGTACAAAAAATAACCACATATAAGCAACATTACAGAAAGGAGTGGGAACTGGAGTTCAAGTGGTTAAAACTAGTGCCAGGTGATTCGTTGAAAGCCTTGTGCTTGTATTGCAAAGTGGAATTAAGTGCAAAATTATACGACATCCATCGCCACAAGGACACAAAAAAGCATAAAGATAAGTCAAAATTCCCTTTACGTCATCCTCAAAACCAAAAATAGTTGTGGAAAAGCAAGATACCAGCAGTGCTAGTAAATCTGAAGCATATCTTAGCTTATACATAGCAGAACACGCCTCAATTAATAGTGTTGACCACCTTACCGATTTATGTAAAGAAATATTCAGTTGTGACTGTCTGAAAGGAGGAGCAAATAAAATCCAGATGCATCGCACTAAATGTACCCATATTATAAATAAAGTTCTGAGTCCGTATTTCAAAGATTTACTGATTAAAGATATTAGGTCGAGTCCTTTTAGCCTAATACTTGATGAGTCTACGGATGTGTCTGTCACAAAACAGTTGATTGGTTATTAAAACAGAGTGGTGATTAAATATTTGAACGAAGAACGCAACGAAATAGTTTCGACATTCCTAGGTCTTCAGCACCGAAACCAAGATTTATCTTCTCTCTTCCATTTACCGTTTCCACCAGTTGATTCGTTTGCATTGTTACCGGTGGATGAGGACGAGATCTTGCAGCTTCTTGCCGGACTTAGAGATAACTGTGCAGTGGGAATTGACCAGATATCTGGCAGAATAATTAAAAGATATTTACAATTATTGGCCACTCCCATGACACATATATGCAATCTGGCTCTTTCTACCGGAACCTTTCCTATAGCCTTTAAAAGAGCATTGATAAAGCCAATACATAAAAGAAGTGACCGAAGCTGTGTTGATAATTACAGGCCCATATCTATTCTACCAGCACTTTCCAAGATCCTAGAGCGTATAATAAATAACAGATTGATCAAATTCTTAGAATCAAAAAACCTTCTCTCATCTTCTCAATACGGCTTCCGTCAAGGAAAGTCCACAGACGATGCTGTACATGACCTCGTATATTCTATTATATCAACAATGGATGACAGAAGAAAGTGTCTAACTATCTTTCTTGATCTAGCAAAAGCGTTCGACACGGTTTCGATCCCTCGCCTCCTGATGAAGTTGGAGAGGATTGGAGTTAGAGGCCTTCCATTAAAACTTCTATGTGATTATCTAACCAATAGGACCCAAAGAGTAAAAATAGAGCACTGGATTAGTGACGAAGCTGACGTCACATTTGGCATCCCCCAGGGCAGTATAATTGGCCCAACGTTATTTTTGGTTGATATTAATGACCTTTGCCAGTTACAGCTTTGTGGGGGTAGAATATTCACGTTTGCCGACGACACTGCGTTATTCTTCAGTGGTGACTCGTGGAAAGAGACTTTTAACACTGCCCAGAGAGGTTTCAATAGAGTGGATGATTGGCTGAAACAGAATCTGCTATCCTTAAATATCTCAAAAACTAAATACATTGCGTTTTCATTAAAATCCAATCAACTTCCTCCATTGACACAACATATATATGCACACATCTATAAATGTAGTAATAATCCACCACAATGTTGCTGTCCTGTCCTACAAAGAACAGATAACATAAAGTACCTCGGTGTAATAATAGATCAGCTACTGTCTTTCAAATTCCATATTGAATCTCTTGTAACCAGAATACGTAAATTAATTTACATTTTTAAGGCACTTAAACATGTTGCCGACCGGCACATAATTAAAATGGTGTATTTTTCACTTTGCCAATCTTTGCTGGAGTATTGCATATCGGCATGGGGTGGTGTTTCAAAAACTCACATACTCGAGGTGGAGAGGGCACAACGTGCTGTACTAAAAGTGACCGCATCTCTACCTTTTCGTTATCCCACTGTGGATCTTTTTAGGGAATGGGATGTATTGACAGTCAGGCAAATATTTATACTATCTATAATAAAAAAGAAACATTCACAATTACACTATGATCCCATGTTGCTCAGAAATAAACAGAGAAAGAGCAACGTATGCCCCAGCAAATCATTAAAAACTGCGGCCTCGCATCATTATTTCTGCTTTCTTGGCTCATATTTATATAACAAACTAAATAAAATCCTCAATATTTACCACCTTCCGAAATACGCTTGCAAATCAACTGTGACTAAATACCTAAAAACCCTTGACTATCAAGCTACTGAAAACCTTCTTATCCCACTTAAGTTGGAAAAAAAAAAAAGTAAACAATAAAAGGTCACAACTTACCATCTTAAATAATTTTATATACACAAGTAATAAATTCAGTCTCCACAGTGTTAACTCACACACACACACACACACACACATACACACACACACACACACACACACACACACACACACACACACACACACACACACACACACGCGCGCGCGCGTGTTCACACATATATGTATAGACTCAAATATAGATATCTCCTCATAAAATGGCGACATTTTGACTGCATTCTCTTTCGTTTTGGTTCTTCATTTATGTTATATTTTATCTGTGGGGAGATCCTGGTGACCTGACACACAGGTTTCTACTGAAACCAATTTCGGGCTCCAGTCTCTCACAAAATTAAGATACAAAATGTTTTTAAGAATCTTAAGACTCACATGTATGTACATAATTTTGTGTTGAGAGAATAAATGATTATTATTATTATTATTATTATAATTAACTGCTTCAAATGCCAGATCGATAGTTGATGCCCTTATCAGTCTCATTAATGACTTGCAATTAGATATTCGAAAGCTAATGGGAATTGGAACCGATAATGGTGGGAATAAATAATGGTGTGTTTCAAATTCTCAAAGAAGAATACAACTTACCACATTTGGTTTTAAATAGATGCGTTTGCCACTCCATACAATTGGCTGTATCACACGCTTCGCAAGAGACTATACCACGAAACATTGAGTTTTTAATCAGAGAGATTTACAATTGGTTTTGTCTATCCCCATGAAGGCAAGATGCGAACAAAGCAATTTATGAAACCATAAATGTGGGTGAGAAGCCACTGAAAATTTTAAACATGTGTGCTACCCGCTGGATTTCTATTGAGCCAGCCGTAACTTGAATTTTTGCTCAATGGGATGAACTTAAACTTCATTTCCAAATGTCACAGGCGCCAGAAAATTGTTACACAGCTACAATACTGCATTCGATGTTGCAAGATGAGAGGAATAAATTGTATTTCATTTATTTAAAATCGGTGCTTAACGAAGTTCAGCAAACATTGAAAATATTTGAAGGCAAATGTATAGATCCGGTACTACTCCTAGATGCGCTGAAACGACTCATTGAAAGTTTATGCCATAAAGTTATCAACCCAAATTCCCGAATAGACTATTTTGTTCAACAAGTCAACGATTACGTTGATCCGAACCCATACATGGGATACATGTTTGAAAATTCTTTAAGTAAATCGAGTCTAGAAGAAACTGAAAAGCAAGCACTCAAACGAAGATGCATTGATTTTACTCTGAAACTAATAAGTCAATTACAGCAGCGTCTGCCAAGTAACTTTAAAAACCTAGAGACCATGACAATTCTTTCTGTTAAAGAAACATTAAAAAAAAAAGCAAATCTGTGCTACCCATCGTTAAACTTGCTGAAGTGTTCGGTGTGCAGCCTGAAGAAATTGATAGAATTTTGACACAATATAAGCTCATTGCTAACCAAGATTGGGAGAATAAAGAAGACAGCGTGAAATTTTGGTGCGAAGTACTTGTTCATAAGGATGCCGCAGGAAACATGCTATATCAGGAGCTTGGAAATTTGGCCAAAGTTATTTTATCTTTGCCACATTCTAACGCCGATGTAGAGCGTGTCTTCAGTTCAATGAACTTGATCAAAACTAAAACGAGAAACAGGATGGGGTTGACAACAATGACTGCAATTTTAAATATACGATGGGGATTGAAACGACTCAAACAGTCTTGCTTTTCTCATAAGGTTCCTAAGGATATAATTGACAAATGTGGTAGTAATTTGAAA